GCAACTTCAGACAAAAGAATTGTAATTTCAAAACCCGCATACAATGTCACCTTAAGATGAGGCTTCATGTTCCCTTGAGGAGAACTTAAAATTAGTTCACCACCGTTCGTATTTATCTTCACTGAAGATTTTTCAGTGAAATTTACATGAGCATTACTTTAAAAAATTATATATTTTTAACTTAAAAAAGTTATGAAATCAAATTTTAGATCACAATTTCTCCCTAAAAATGAAGCAAATTTTTGAATTAAATTTTTAATTAAAACAGAACATAAAGTAAAGCAAAACCTCAAACAAATCCTAACCAACAAAGAAATCGGGGTAATACGTAACATCTACTTTTTGCACGTTCCTTTTGGGTCTTTCATTTTTCTGAGAAAAATGAGATTTTCGTTACGTTACACAGGGGGAGGGGGGGTATGGTCTTGCGTTACGCTAGTGTGACAGAGGGGGGGGAGGGGTCTGAAAAAAGTCGATTTTTGCGTTACATAATTTATGAACGGCCCCTGTGCTAACAACTTATTAAGGGGTGAAAGCCCTTTATAAGATCGTTATGTCCGTCTGTCTGTCTGTCTGTCCGTAGCTCCGATAACTTTTGAACGGAAAGACATAGAGACTTGAAATTTTGAACGTAAACACTTAACGTCAATGGACAGGACGAGTTCGAAGATGGACACTGTGACGATGACGTCGTCACAGTGACGAAAAGTGACGAAAAAGTGTCACCTGTCAGTTTTGACATGTGACACATCATTTTTAACTATTTTTCAATGAGGAATTCGAAAATTCATGTCATTTTGCGGTTGGACGTCACCTGTGACGATGACGTCGTCACGGTGACGAAAAGTGACGAAAAAGTGTCACTTGTCAGTTTTGACATGTGACACATCATTTTTAACTATTTTTCAATGAGGAATTCGAAAATTCATGTCATTTTGCGGTTGGACGTCACCTGTGACGATGACGTCGTCACGGTGACGAAAAGTGACGAAAAAGTGTCACTTGTCAGTTTTGGCATGTGACACATCATTTTTAACTATTTTTCAATGAGGAATTCGAAAATTCATGTCATTTTGCGGTTGGACGTCACCTGTGACGATGACGTCGTCACAGTGACGAAAAGTGACGAAAAAGTGTCACTTGTCAGTTTTGGCATGTGACACATCATTTTTAACTATTTTTCAATGTCAAATTCAATGGTGACCTCTATTTTGACCTCAGAGGTCATGTAAAGGTCATAGGACATATCTATTTCACTTTCAACTGAAATTTAACCCCGAATTCAATGGTGACCTCCATTTTGACCTCAGAGGTCATGTAAAGGTCATAGGACATATCTATTTCAATTTCAACTGAAATTTAACCCCGAATTCAATGGTGACCTCCATTTTGACCTCAGAGGTCATATAAAGGTCACATAAGGGTTATCAACTGTTAAATTTGAGACAAATAAGACACAAAAGTCGAAAACACGTCAGAGGTGTCAATCTTAACAAATTTTCGAACAATTTGATATTCACATTGACGTATGACACTCCTTTCACCCCTTGGTTACATGCGTTGTAACGGTTTATTATTAACAAGCCTAATGAAGTAATAAGAGGTTTGTATAATGAAGCGTAATGAAGTTAAATGAAGCCTGGTAAAGCGAAGTGAAATGAAGGCGACTTAAAACCTTCGGAAAATCAGAAATAATACCCTTTTTAGTTAAAAACCGTGTTTAGCAAGTCTCCAGTCTAAGCTGTTTGGTCTAAAAAAATTTATTATCAAAATACTCCTTAGTGCATACATACATTTTCGAAATTTTGCCATGTATACTGTATAGATTTTCCTTTTAACAGTCAGAACTTCCTCCAGTTTCAGGAAGTTAAACCGATTTTCCTGAGGTTAACCACTGTATTTACAAATCTCATTTATTTTTTATCCTTTTTATCCTTCCGTAAAAGACAGGACACACACAGGTCTCTGACCGGTCAGTTTTGCCTACTTATTTCGTTACGACTATTCTGCTACATATATGCTCCCCCCCAAATGAGATACTATCCTCGGCCTTAGTTTCTAAAAATTTGGAAACTTAAAGATACAAGTTTACCTCGGTTTTCACCGATAGATATTCCTCTTTTGCCCACACAATAAATACTTATTCATAATTTGTGTTCCCCAATAAGGAAACAATCTCGAGGTGCAGGGGATACTACACAGCAGGGCAGGGAACTTTGATCATCGGAATTTTGAATATCGTAATCAAAAAGGAAGTTTTACATATTATATACGTTTAACCCTTTAACGTGTATGATGAACAACAAGAAAATGCATTAAATCTGGGACGCTATAAGTATGCTGTGGTCATGGCGCGGGAGGAGAAATTCAGGAGTTTTAACAAAACTCGAAAAAACTGAAAAATCAAAAATTTAACATTGCGTTGTATAGGGAAATATCCAAATTTTCGGGAAGAAAATCTTCAAATTTAGCATTGTGTTGGTGTAGGAGAAATCCCTCCAAATTGCAACAAATTTTACTTCGCGGTGAGAAAATGGTGAAAATCAATGATCTCCTAGAAACGACAATTGTCTTCCTTCCGCGCCATGACCACGATTTTTTAGGACGGCTTTTGTCATACTCCGGAATTGAATCATTTCTTATAAAACGACAATTGTCTTACGAATTAAAGGGTTAATACATAGGATTAGGAACAGTGTAAATAGTACAGACGTTCCATTAAATCCTAAATAAATCCCCTTCATAATTTCAGATTGGTGCCATCCTGCCCATTCTTCAAAACTGGAACAGATTGAATGTCATGCTTACTTATCCTCAACAAACTATTGAACTCAACAATTGTAAACATTTCTATATCATAGAATACATTATATAATTTGAATTCTTTTTTTATAAAATCGTCACATCTGTATTTAGGGTATCTGCACATTGCGTTGGCTTCCTTCCAAATTTACGTGGCGATCATGCACCTGATTTTGGCCTCTTATCGCAAGTGTGTCTGTTTGTACACGGTTAAAAATTATGCTACACTTTTGAAACGTATTTACATAAATGCATTCAATTCAGAAAATTGTATAAAATCCGGATTCAACTTTACTCTTCATCAAGTTTTTTAACATTGTCTCAGGATTTTTTTCAGTCTACTCAACATAAAATTCAGAGCTCATTCGTTTACGTCAAATTATTATTAAGTGTGTACCAGAGGTCGGCGCCGATGGTACCATCGGCGGCGGCGGCTTGAATTTTACTCTAGGTCGGCGGCGGCGGCGCGCCGATGTTTCTCCGGCGGCGGCGCCAAATTTTAAATAGTTTTTAAGAGCCTATAAATTTCAAATTGTGTACTTTTTCGCTCGTAAAAACAACGCTGTCCGGTAGAAAAATTATGTACACAATTAAATTATTTATGTGTTTCTGCATACATATCATAGTTTTAAACCCCTAAACAGAAAAGCGTTGTCTGCCGGTCCGTCTCTCTGCCTGTGGGTACATGTAGGGTCACAGTGACCAGTGATTATGTCAAAGGCTAAAAATGGAAATCACTATTTGAGTTAAAGTCCTCACATCTCCGATTTTGCCAAACGCATTTCATTGCTTATTGTTTTCTTGAATACATCAGTAAGGAAACGTATAATCAAATTTCACCTATTTTTATAGCGCTGCTAGTTTTTATTTATCATGGCATTGGCATTACTTCAAAACATTGCTCAGGATCATTATTCTGAGATTTTAAAAACGCTTAGGTATTTTTCAATTTGACATTTTGAAGATTAAGATTTTTGAAAATTTTGGAAATTTAGATATTACCATAGTAAAATTTGTAAATGTTAGGAAAGTTCTGGGACAATATCCCGTTTTCGTTATAAGATAAATGTTTAATCGCTTCAAAAGAAGACTCGAAATTAAAGTGAGGCCACAATACATATTACAAATTTGTTTTATCAAATTTAATTATTTTGTCAAATTTAAATATTATTTAAATTTGACTTTTGAAATCATAATTAGACCAAAGTCTAAGTATTCAGGCAAAATAAAAATCTGCGTCGCCGGCGGCGCGCCGAGAATTTTTGCCGGCGGCGGCGGCGCGCAAAATAGTACCGGCGTCGGCGGCGTCGGCGGCGTATGGCCGGCGGCGTCCACCTCTGACATACATAATCTTACCTAAAATATTTTTCGCAATAATTAAATTTTTCACAATAAAACTACCGCTGAAACTACCGCTTCACCATGCCCTGCTTGATGTGGAGCTATGTCACCCTTGCGCTCTGGTTCCATATTTTGTGTTCTTCTTGATCATCGCAAGTTCTAACCAAGGTTCCTTTGACTCCTTTGTCATACCCATCAGTGCCATAGCCATAGGGATTCAGGTATATTTTGTCGTCGTGGTGACACACTTCGTGCAGGCATTGATGCGTGGAAATAGTAGAGAAATGGTGGTGGAGAATTGAGGAATGCGAGTAATCAACTGTTACGTATGTACCCTTGACATCTTAAAATTCTTAAAATCTTTGTTATCATTATTAAAAGTTATGTATAAGTGGTCATCAATTTCTAACCAGTTTTTCTCGGTAATTAAATAAAGTATTTATGAAAAATTAATTTCTGGGCTCAATTGCTAAAAATTAACATGGCAAAGAAATTCTGGCTGTGGGAACGTTTTTTGCAGGGAGGGGAACTTTATCATTGGGCGGTTGAGACCACTGAAATTTGTCGGTGGCACCATAGCTAATCAGGTTTATCGTATTAAAAAAAAGTCATCTGCGGGTGGCCGCTACAAAAGTAGGCTTTGAGCGCTGATTTACGTTCAAATATCACAAACAGACAAATATGGGGATCCCTGATGCGCTGGGTGGCACAATGATGTCCAACATACAAGGGCCCTTTGAAAACCAAAGTGCACAAATATCGACCAAATTGTCACTTAAGGTAGGAGGGGTCGACGCACCGTTACTTAAACTAAAGGAGGTCACAAAATATTTATTTACCGTAGCTGGACTTCAATATGTATGTAACGTCCAATTCGTAGTTCTTGGACGTTCAAATATTTTATTTCTATTATTTCAAAAAATTTGCCTCAATATACATATATTGTCCGATATATTATTCGCACATTGTATATAAATCATTTTAAAATATCCATCCATTCTTGAGAAATTGAATTTGAAATTTTAAAAAAAGTCGTAGCTAGGGTTATGTTACATACTGTATTAGAAATTTTTATTTGTTAGAAATTAATACGTGGGAAAGTCTGCACTTAAAAAGTAATATCTAAATAATATGATTGCACCATTGCATGATTGCACAATTTCTGCATCACTGTCGTATGTTTTAGAAATGAACGGACTCCATGTTTTGAATAAATTCTTGATCAATCGACTTTGAAGATGGGTTGCATTTTATCCAAAATTTCAGCCACCTGAGTTACATATTTGCAAAATTGTCAATACGTAAAAATGATTTATTTAATGCTTGACAGACCGAAAAATTAATGGGGATACCACTGTCGGGTGGCGCCAGTTCCACAATTTGCGATACCTAAATTACAAATCGAAATTTAAAAGGATATACATATTTATTTAAATATAACTAAATATCAAACAAGTTGTATTCCTCACGTCGGTAACCACAGAAAATGCCAGGCTTTTAAATGCTGCATGGTACAAAATAAGATCTTGAATGTAGGGTTGAAAGTTGTTTTGTGTGACCCTGATGTGGTGAAAGTGGAGACGCTTAATCCCTAAAAATTAATTGCAATGTAAGTATTTAATACGTTTCAATATTTTTTCTAAGTAGTAATATTTCAGGTCGGACATCCAAAATCGGAAAATTAAGCATCGAATGAATAAAAATAAAAAATAAAAAAATAACTTAAATAAAAAAAGGTATTGGGTTTTGGCAAACCCGGATTTGAACCTGTTTAAACCCGATTTGCATGCACTGAATTTGAAAAATATAAATGCCGGTACAATCTACAATATACAAAATATCGTCCTACTAATTCTAAAAGCAGCTAAGTACAGTCAATGCTTAATTTTAAAAATAGCTAACTGCACAATAAAAACTCGTAAAAAGAGCTAGCTGCAATTCTAAGATTATAGCTTTGTATAATTCTAAAATTGCAGGTAGCTATTTTTACGAGTCTTTATTGTATTTAAAATTAAACATTGACTGCACTTAGGATTAGAGGCTTTTAGAATTAGTACGACAAATATATGTATTATTGTTTTAAAGATTAACTCTTGTTGCCATGTGAAATAGCAAACCTGTCTATAAATGATGTTATTAAAATCCAATTTGTATAAATTTTGGAAAACCCAATTTTGAATGCTCTAATTTCTAGACTCACCATTCCACAGCGACATATTTTTCAGGACGGCAACTATCAACGACGAGTCATCCACCATTCCTACGTCTACGTTTACCTCGTCCAGTTTCCACGTTTGGAACGGTGTCATCATCTGATTTATCTCATGGATTGGGCTGTCACGAGTGACATGCATTTCTAGCTCAAATTTCTTAACGGCAGGAAATAATTGGGCAATACTTTCTGCAAACTCGTCCTGACTCCAAGCCCAACAAAGTTCCAGAGCGAGAGACTTTACTCCTCTGTGTCGCTGCCACGCCTCTAAATGGGCTGAAAAACTCGATGAATACATGAAGTTTTCGAACGACAAATTTGTCAGTGCTGGAAGGTGCTCCTCGTTAAAAAGTTGAGGCATCAGGTACGCATGGAATGAGTGGATTGTGAGCGTGGTAAGTTTCGACATCACAGGAACGTCAATACTACGAATCTGGGATAAATAATAAATGCTTATTAACCGGGTATTAAGTGTTGACAAACTCACAAAAGAGCACCAAAAATTTCACACATCGTGGTCATTTTTATCATTTCTATTCACACTTTATACCCATTATTTAACTCCGTCAGAGATTTTTAAAAAACATTGCTCGACAAGATCGCAAAATATCATTCTATTGCAAGGGGAGGTTCTAGACGGATAAAGTATACAAAAGTATTGTCCTCTCGAAGCCCAAAATAGAATTTAACCGCTCCGTGATTTCGACTTAAGTTATAATTTAACTATTGTTCCACGACTTTAATATATAAATATTTCGCTACCTCCTTTATATCGCAACCATTTGGGATATTTTATAACCTCAAACAAGTGGCTGGATAAATTTGTCGATACCCCATGGTTTTTATGCAATTCTATAGCTCAGCGATTGGCACGAGTTCATAGGTTGCTTTACTCGTATTGCAATTTTTTCGTGAGTACCCCTTTAAGAAAAACTCGGATAAATATGTGTACATAATTTTTACCTGCCGCCTAACAAACGAATAACTGTTGTATCTTAATTCCACTTCTGTCAAGGAATCCTTAACTTGTCCCAACATCCTTATCACCTTGGCAACACTGAAGTCACGATAAGTTGTATCATGACACCTTATGAAACAAAATTTAAGCCTTTCGAGATGTCTGCACCCGCTCAAGTTGGGGAAGCGGGACCCCGAGACGTCCAACACGGACAAATTTGGTGCCGCGTTAATCGTAATTTGCATAACTAGTGGAAATGCGTAGCGTTGGTAAATCTTGTCCAGCCTGTCGTTAGAAGGTCCATACTTGATCGAGGTCAAATTAGGGAGGAGTGGTAGTTTTTGAAAAGCTACATTTTCATTATGACCAGCATATTTCCCAATAACGGTGGTGAGATTTTGAATATTTTGGAATTTTAGCATCCTTATCCCATTCTTGATGATGTCGATCGTCTTATATCTCGATGCAATTTGGTCAAACTCCTCGTGGATAGTGATACTGCGGAAAAGTTGATCATTAACGGGGGTCGCCTGGAACAAATGTGGCCCGTCGTAGCGGAAAAGCGCGTTGACATTTAGAATTGTCTTCTTTCCTAGTAAACTGGCTCCAGCATTTGCCCAATCGAGACACACGAGGCGACACGCCTTCAGGTTAGGCAGGTTTAGACAGCGAAAGACTAAGGTCAGAACCTGATATAAATAAAAATTGTAACAAATTAGACTTTGCTAGTTAGGTAGGAATTTATTTATTCAGATTATTTAAGTATTTAATCGTTACTGAATTGTTCTCATTGCAATTATTTAACTAAAAATTTTGAGTGGATGAAATGATTTCATGTATTTCACTACCCCGTTAAAGTAAACTAAAAGTTATTATATTATCTGGATAATACATATAATATCTTTAGTATTTTACAAAAGATTATCGTTTAAATTTTCGAACAACAGAAAAACACTAATTCTGAAGCGCAAACTACAATAAAGAAATTAAATTGTAAATTAACGTAATGAAAATGACTGACTGACCAGCGGATTCATCAAGGCTTTCGACATAGAGCTGTTTCGGTCCATTGTTGAGTCGAGTATTATACACCCTATAATTAATTAGATAAAATCATTACCGGGGAACAAAATTAAAATAATTTAGTATTTAAAATTTAAAGATCTAGATACTCCGTTTTGGTGAGGGACACGACGTCAGGTCCATATTTCCTTAACTAATTCCAGTAGTTCTGAAATATATATAAAGTTCTCGTAGTAATCCCTCAAACATTGACAATTGACAACCTTATGTAAAACACAACGATCTAGGTAAGTTAGTTGAACTTATATGCAAACTCGTCACAATATGTAGGAAGTATTTAAATTAAATAAGTTACATACTTAAATTCAATTTAGCTCACCATTGACGTCTGCTAAATAAAAACGCAATCTGTAGTGTTGTGTTTATCGGTTGCAAAGTTTTATTTTTTAGCCTAACTTGCAACTACATATGTAATATCACATACTATGGTTTCTAATCGTTCAAGTAATAACTAAGAATCTGATCTGTATTGTCTGCTTCATTCTCGTGTTCGATCAGAGTAATCCCTAACGTTTGAAATTTAAACGTTGAAGTTACGTAGAAATAACAAAGCAAAATGTATTTAGCAATTGATTACGTGCACAATAATATGAAACACCTGATGACGATTTTTCCGGTATTGAGTGCATGTATCCTCCTCGCGCGATCCTCACACATCCACCACCACCACCATCATCACTCTTTGTTGAAAGCGTCATGATTTGTATATGAAAACTAACGTTGCTTTGATACGAAAATGTTATACCAGCCGCAATTTTGAACAAATTGTATATATTTTTAGTCACATGTACATATGTGCATACATGTATGTATATAATTATTTACATATGTACCTCTCTCATACATAAGAGACGTACATATGAATGTAAGAGATACACTGTTAGAAATCCGGTATAGTCACGCAGGTATTGATTTCTCGGTATTAAAGTTGCTACCGCTTGGTATTAAAATTATACCGGTGAGTAAAAATTTGATACCGATATTGTAAAACTTTAATACCGGGTTATTACCACACGGTATTATTTATCAATACCACGTTGGTAGAGTCATATATGAATACCACCTGGTATTATTTTAATACTGGATTTCTAAGAGTGTACATAATTTGAAAATTCATAATATCGTAGAAACCTTGGATACTAATTATATTTAGCTTCATTTTTCATACCAATTTATAAACACGGAGAAATCATTTATTACACATAAAAGAAATGAATTGTTTCCATAGGGGTCAATCACCGAACTGTTCAATGTGTAAGTACATACTTTGCTGTTTGTAACAATATTCACGGTGAAATATACATATGAGTTATTTATATGAAATGTATAACCCATAAATGCATGTATATGTTTGTACACGAATGAGCATACATACGTATTGTTAAGTACATATGTACACAGCCCCGAAAACCCATTATTTGCACTAAATATCCAGACACGTATAATGTTTTGTGTTTTGTTTTGTCTGGTTTCACCAAAATTCTTTTTTAGTTTAGGAACTAATATTTTTCGCATCAACTGATAAATAAATAACACATAAGTAACATTGATAATTTCATTGGATTTTTTGTTTTCCTTAATAAAGAATTACTTTATACATAAATCCACTTAAACCCATAATAGGCGAAAGTACTGCATAAAATTCATGCAAAAAAATCCTCCAACATCATTCGATCTGACGCACTTATCTCTACATAGTCTCAACTTAAAAAGTGATAGTAGAGTAGACGACCATATTAGGTTAGTTTTAAGGAATTTCAAAATTATTTTTATTCCATTGAAAAGCCAGTTAAATTTCATGTAGAAAACATGTATTAAACTTGAAAATATATTCCTCCTGTGACCATGAAGAATTGGTCACAAAAGAGAAAGGTCCATCAAAAATACGCACGGAATTAATGGACAAAGTGTATCATTCCCAGGTCAGAAATTTTTTTGTGACCTTGACGCATATATGGGGCTCAGAACAGACCTTCTCCTCAATTTTAATCAATATTTGGTGGTAAAGTTGTCTGCGGTTCGAAAATGCCAGGGTCAAACCTAAAGTGCAAATGAAATCAGAAATATGGATTTTAATCCAGTTTTTCAACGAATTTCGATGTAAATGTTACTGTGGACCCCTTAACAAAGGTCGGTGGCTTTTCACCCAATATAGACTAGTTGAGGGGGTGTTCCATCTTCACCAGGACGTTTATCAAATATTTTTTTAAACTATCTCCTCTCCTTAATCAAGGAAATTGGGCTGTTTTTGCTCAATTCCGCCGATTAAATTGACACGGTTCATTTTTTTGAAAACTATACTACAGATATTTGTACGTCATGATTTACACGGGTCATTGTATATATTTACATACGTACAGCTCATGGATGGTCTAAATGCATGTACAGTACTATGTTAATATATGTAAATATATGTGTAAATATATGTAAATATTCATGATGCCCGTTTGTGGTTAATCCGCTCAATAAAACCCAGCGATTCGTATCTTTGTCCCACAAAATGAGCTTCGAAGTCAAATGTAGTACATAGTTTTATACATTTTATTTTTATACAATTTTCAAACAAAACTTGTAGCAAATCTTACATCAAATAGATATACATAATTAAGCTAAAAATTCATTTGGCTGCGGAAAAATTGAATAACAGCGAATTAAAGTTTAAACATGAAATCAACAAAATAATTTACCAAAGTGAGTATGCAGACATAAATATGTACGATCTGCCTTCCGCCATTTTAAATTAAAATTATTCATCAAGCTTGTGAAAACATAATTCGAAATAGCATTTTTGCGAATATTATTTTTCCCAAAAAATTAAACCAAAATTTTCGAGGCAACAAAAATCATCCCCATAATTCCCAGCAACCGCCCGACCGACACCTTATTATTCTCGTTGGCATGGTTACACTTATTCGTGAAGCAGTAATTCCCCGTAATTGCGGATCCGTTCACAAATTTGGCCTCCTTCGCTTTCAAGTGTTTGCTGTCCACCTCATGCATCAAGGCACACCCCCGGCGCGTCGTGTTCGTCTGGGAAGAGTAAAATTTGGCACATTCCGCCGTGTATTTTTCGCTTCGTTGGAAATTGATGTAATTGATGCGATCGTCCCCTCCCACGGTGTCGTACGGGGTGACGACGTTACCCTCGGGGATGTAGGGATCGCAGTGGACCAGCAGGACGGAGGGGAGTGGTCCACCAGAGGCACAGTTTTCATGGAACGGCAGCACGGGAACGTGACCGGACAGCGGGTCGAGGTCGGAAGAACACTGGTAACACATGATGGCAGAATGTGACGGGGTATCATCGGGCTCACCGAAGTGCACCCCTGTCAAAAAATAAGAAGGAAAAAAAATTATTCACAAATAAAATTAGCAAGTTGTACATATTTCAAGTAACTAAATGAAACCCGAGTAAAAATTTGAACGGATTTCCTCTAGAAAATTGACCCATTCTTTTGCAGAAATTTGGTTCAATTTTCTCCAAGAAAACTTTACGCAGAGCAATTTATTATGCAGAAATTTGAAAACTAATCATGCAGAATTATACACACAAGTTCTGCAGAATTACATAAGTCGGTGGAAAATTTCTGCAGAATTAGGTATGCAAGAATATTTGTAATTTGCGTCAAGCTTTTATCTATTACTGCACAGTTCGACACAGTAATTTCTACTCGGGAATTATGTTACAGGCTCCCATTTGATGTAAGAGCTACATAAATATGTTACATACAAAATTATAAATTAAAAAAAAATATTTCCGAGGAAAATTAGAATTTATATATGTACTCACTAATCGTAACAGCTGCATTCACAGAGTCGAACAGCGTGGATATCAGAACCGCTCCAAAGACATACTCGAAACCCTTCATTTTGAACGTATATTTTTCCAATAATTTACTCTTTAAAATTTCAATTCACTTGGTCTGACTGGGTATCGACACATGTACATAAACAGAAAGCTCCAAGAGTCTCGACTAGTGAGGATAATAAGGATTATTTTATTTATTTAATTCTCAGCATTTAAGAATTATTTAAGGCTCCGAGCTAAGAAAGAACAAGTCTGCTTTACGCCTGGAGAACGAATGACATTCTTAGCAAAGTAGTTTTACTACATACGAAATTTGAGACTGCGGAGGAGCCCTACATAGAAAGCTGTTCAATCACACGAACAATGCGATGGTGTGAAGTGTAACCCTTCTATTGTGATGTATGTAATGCATGATGCATAATTTTAGAATTAAGTTATCCAAGTAACAGAGGTGGAGAAAATACTTTTTCAAAATACAGTATTTTGAGCTCCGTTCTTCCCTTGCATTTTATTTCCGGGGCTGTTACACCCACAAAAGGGCGAAAATCTATTTGGGAGAGACAAATATGAGTCGAAAATATAGGTTTTTTGAGAAACTAACTTTTTACCGCAGACAAAATATGATTTCATGATTTTGTAAAAAATAAAATATTTTGAACACCATATAAAGTTCATTGATTTTTAAGTTATTTGCTGACTTGGCAAACCAACACAGCCAACGCTTCTCTAGGCAGTTTGTTCGATCATTGGAATTTGACTAAATATTTTAAGTCAAAGTTCAAAAATGGGCGATTCTTACAAAGTGGATAAAGCAAACCTCACTTCTATTCGACCAGAAACATTTCTAAACCATGGAATTGGACCTCAAACTTTTTGACTAATTCTAACCACCGCACAAAGTCTCTGCCTCAAGAAAAGTTGGTTGGATTGACTTGCATAATATATATAGGTTATTCGAAAAATTTCATTATGTACAATGTGAGGGTTACACTTCACACCATCGCATTGTAAGAAATCCAGTATTAAAATAATACCAACGGATATTCAGTTATGAGTCATAACTTATAACTCTATTTACAAACTTCTCTGCATCTGGTCTATTGTTTCAAATCCGTCTAAGAGCGACCTTTGAGCCTGGAGTGATAACTTAATGGGTCGCCTTCTCCTCAAAATCCATGACTCATCAAGTTGATAACTACTCTGGGGCCGTACATCAAGGATATGATCTAGTTTTCGAGAATTATGAACCCAACCCCACGGTGTGACTCGTATGCCCCAACTCATAATTCATATGGGAACGATATCATTCCATTACCCGATCAAATTGATCACACACTATTTGCATACTCCATCAGTAAATGTATGAGCCTGCCACAAACTTTCCTATCTGAATCTCAAAAATATTTACATAATAAACATCTCGGTTTGACAGCGTTTCCTCGATGTCTTATTAAGTACTTATTTATTCAATGCATTTGTACAAAGAGTAGCACACATTAAATAATAGATACATACATGCAGCAGCCATATTCATATTGGAGGTGTGCATCGATTTTTTGGGAATTCTTACGCCACCCCTTACGTTATAATTAACATGGGAATGATAGGATGCCTTGACCCCTACCCCCCTCAAATAATCGATCGCCTACTTTTTGCACAGTCCTTTACTTATAAGTTGAAATGATAAATTTTTTAGAGTTGATTGGTCAAAGAAACGCCATATGTCGATGTGTGCTTATCATTATTTAGATACATAGAGCAGGCGTGGAAATATACGTTATAACTAAAAATTATGACGCAATTGATGCTAATTAAAATGTACCAGCTCCATTTTTTAATAAATTAAGAACACCATTGGTATCTAACAATCGGAAACATAAAATGATGCGAAACAATCGGTGGAACTCATACAAAACGCACCAACAGTGCAGAATATCCGGGAGAAATAATCATACAATTTTGACACAAAGTTTTCAAAGTTATAAATGCCATTTGGTCGCTAGTGCTCCACACGTGGTGCAAACTAATTCGGCGCGTGTACAAATTTTTCCGTTTAAATTGCATCATTGGTGCAAGAATACCTACATACAAATTATGATCTCTTTTGTCGGCTTATACAGCACCTTCGGTGCAAAGTTATATCTAAATACTTATGACAGGGTGAGCTATTTCTAACGTTACTACGGTTTATTCATGAGTCATAAATTTGCAATATTTCTGGCGTCTAGTATGCAGCAGAACTATGTACACTGATATTTTTGGGTCAACAAAACATGCAATTATCAACAATATGATAGGAAATAAATGACTGAGTATGTAGAAGTTCAATTAATACAACAACTATAAATCAAATATTATTAAGTATTAAAAATCACAGGTTTATTTAACTAACTACATAAATATATCAAATATTTGCACAACCAATGATTTTAATAATTTTCACAATTCCTACTGTTGATTGTTCAATGCTTTGAAAACGGATGAATATTTAAGACACAATCGATATGAATAGTTTAAACAAACCATAAAATATGTACTGTCAACACTAAATACATAAGTATGCAAATATATAAGAGATTCCTAGAATTAATTGTCGAGTGAAATAAGCCTCACGTAATAATCAACCAAATAAATGTGATAAATTAACTTTTGATGGTTTATACTCATGCGGATATATGTATGTTTATGCATGCATTCGTCAACTTATTAGTGATAGTGAGCGTGCATTTTTATACATTTTTGATATTACATAAATACATATTACATACAGGAATACCCGAAGGTTTTAAATGCGCCAAGATTAACAAGGTCCAAGAAGTAGCTTCCATATTTTACATATGTATGTGTGCATCCAACGAAAATATGAAATGTATTTATAATAAAATACCATTCATCACACTCCTATGGTTATGAAACCCGACTGGATAGTTTTAGTATAAATAAACCGTTGTAACGGCAGAAGTAGCTCGCCCTTTAATACTCAATGGGACATAAGTTTGACATAATCTTCAGTCAAACATAGTGTAATTTAAGCATAACCATATTTAATTTGGATGCATAAGAAAATTTGAAGGATATAATGAATGAATGGATGAAAATAATAATAATAAGAAATAAATAAAATGAAATAAAATGAATATAAATTTCATCATTTCATTATAAGTTTTGTAACTATGCTAACGTATGCTAGACCAGACAAACAGAAACAGGAGAAAAACAAATCTTGGATTTCAATATTTATTCTGCGTCTGAATTTTCTAATTCTGAATAATCGAAACGTCTCGCTCTATATTACGCAAATTCCAAATCGGAGAAGTAACTATCAAGACGGGGTCGTTAGAGGGGGAGTGACTTATCAAGAGGAGGAGAAATTTATCTGGAGGAGAAGGGGTGGAGCGACTTATCTGGAGGAGGAGAAATTTGTCAAGAAGTGGAGCGAAAGGTGAAGTAGCTTATCGAGTAGAGCATTGCAAATCGCTAAGTGGCTTATCGACAGGTACGTAACCTACGTTTATTGAGTTGGTGTTGCCCTTAGTTAGCGGGTAAATCATGCCTCGAAAACTAAGTATGAAAGAAAGGATGCGGAGAAAAAGGAAACACGAAGAGTTCCGTCGTTCTGAAGCAGAAAAAAACTCTATCTCGAAGAAATTACACAGGATGGATGCAGATATGCGACAACAAGAGCAAGAAAGGGACGCCGCAGCTCACGCTGAACTTAGGAAGATTGACATCTACCGAGAAGAAGAAAAAGAGCGGGACAGGATAAGCCATACTTCCCGCCGAGAAAATGAGACTTATCGCGAAGTGGAAAAAGAGCGGAATCGGGTGGAACATGTTTCCCGCCGAGAAAATGAGTCTTACCGCGAAGTGGAAAAAGAGCGGGATCGGGTGGAACATGCTTCCCGCCGAGAAAATGAGACTTACCGCGAAGTGGAAAAAGAGCGGGATCGGGTGGAACATGCTTCCCGCCGAGAAAATGAGTCTTATCGCGAAGTGGAAAAAGAGCGGAATCGGGTGGAACATGTTTCCCGCCGAGAAAATGAGTCTTACCGCGAAGTGGAAAAAGCCCGTAATCGAGTGGAGCATGCTTCCCGCCGAGAAGAAGATACTTACAGGAAGACGGAACAACAGCGGAATACAATCAGAAAAGCGTTTCTCGTCAAAATGCCAAAAATGATTATGATATTTTGTTCAACTCATTTCAAATTGAAATAGCTGATCAACCTAAATGGATATGCAGTTCATGCGGCGGACTTTGGTATAAAACTTCTGTGCACCCAACGACAACAGAAACCGTGCGCAAACTTCATCCCAAGAAACCGTTCGCCCACATGAAAGTAGATGGGAAGTATTTCCTATGTGGCACATGTCACGACTCACTGAAGAATGGTGACGTGCCAAGATTATGTATGTCAAACGGACTGTATTTCCCCCCAATCCCACATCAACTACAGAACATGACGACTTTGGAGGAACGCCTGGTTGCATTAAGATTACCGTTCGCGCAGATACGATCTTTAGGGAGTGACCGTCAGTACGGGATCCGAGGTGGAGTGGTCAATGTTCCCAATGACATGGATATTGTTGCTAAAGTGATACCCCGCCGATTCGATGAGACAAGTACCGTTCAAGTTCAATTAAAGCGCCGAATGTCTTATAAACATCCTTTCATGTTTCAAACTATACGGCCACATAAACTTTTTCATGCCGCCAATTACCTATTGCGTACCGAGTTGTATAGAAAGGAAAACGTATTTCTTTCATCAGACTGGGCAAACTGTTCTTCAACCGACACTGTACAATATATAGTAAACCCTAACGATGCTACCGAGAGCAATACAGACATTGAGAGCATTGAAGAAATATCTATCAGTGACAAACCCCAAACTGAAGATAACGATGCACCTTTAACGGAAACTCTAATGCAAGAAGATCAACTGATTATGGCAGTAGCACCTGGAGAAGGAACGCGCCCGCTCTCATTGCTTATGGATTTGGACGCTGAGGAGCTATCCTTCCCTTCTATTTATTGCGGAATCAAAAGAAAATTTAATCCAGATGCTAACTTGTCCTATGCTGATATTGCAAAGTCGGAACCTCGAAGATTTGACCCACGTTGCAGAAGAGCAGACAAAATATTATACAGCTACCGTCTAGTTCAAACTCACAGGATTGCTAGCAACATAAACATATGTTTACGAAAAAAGAAAAGGCGCGGTATTATAACTGCTGGGAACATGCTTAACAACGAATGTGTTCA